ACCCGCCCCGTCCCCCTCTGCCCAGTGGAGCTGGCGCTCCCACCCCACACAGGCTCGTGTCCCTCCGAGAGGTAGGCACCCCCGGAACGCGGAATCACGACCCAGGATCCATTTTCCACACTTTATCTCCGTGCAGCTACTGGAGAGTCCCGAGGCCCGGACGGCACCTCCTGCGCACGCGCAGTCTGTCCGCCGCGGGCGTTGCCAGGCGGGACGGTGGACGCCGCGGCGCGGGGGCCGTGGCCGCCGTCTCGCCGGGCCCCTGAGGTAGGGTCAGACGCAGGCACACTCGCGCACCGACAGCTCGTGGACCGTGTGGTAGCGGCTGTGCGCGTCCAAGAAGGACACCTCGTCCTCGTAGGCCGTCGGGCGGCAGCAGGGCTGCGCGCGCACCCGCTCCCGCCGAACGCGCCGCCGCTGGCGAAGCCGCCGCAGCCCCAGGTCGTAGACGCGCGCAGCCGCTTCGCAGGCGCCTGCGCAGTAGCGGAACAGCACCGTCTCCTCGGACGCGTAGCCCAAGCCCAGCTCGCTCACGCGCACTTCCACTTCGCGCAGCCCGCACGGCCGCGTCCCCGATCGCGCGCGCGCGCGCCTCCGCCGGAGCCCCGCCCGCTGCCGCGCCCAGGGCGTCAGCTGGCGCAGCTCCACCGCGTCCGGGGCGCCCTGCAGCAGTGCACGATCTGCGAGGAGAGAGAGAGAGAGAGAGAACCGGGTGGGTCGGTGGGTGACTGGGGGACAGTCCCCGACCCCCGCTGTTCCCCTCGGAAAACAGCCCCTTGGTAGCGCACCCTCCCGAGGCAGCTTCTCAACTCCCTGCTACGTTCCCAAGCATGTTCCCTCTCTGGGCGGCGTGGGGGGTGCCTGTGCAGAGCCCCCGCGCTGGAGCCCCAGGACTCCCAACAGCCCTCTCTGGACCCTACCGCTGTGGTGGACGCTCAGAACCTGGCTCCTCCTTGCCGGTGCCCTGGAGCGCTTTCCAGCCTGCCCCCACGTTGAGCTGAGCTCGCCCCGGGGTCTCACTCCCTCTGGTCATCCCCACGCCCACATTCTCCGTGGGCCCTGACCCTTTGTTCTGCTTTCGCTGAGCTGCTCCCACCTCTTTGCAGAAAAGGAAGGGAGGGCTCAGCTGGGGCTGTAGTGATCCAAATCCCTGTCCCCGTGGGCCCCCAGCTGGCCCCACCCCTAGGCTGGGATGCCCCTGGTAACTGGCACCCCTTTTGTGACCAGTGTTGGGGAGCTGCATCCCATGCTTCAAGCACTCACTCGTTGGCTGAGCTGATAATGAGTCTCTGGCTCACTCTTTGGGGGTCCCACCCAACGCCCCCCACCTTGTCCCTCCTGCTCCGCCACACGCTGGGACTCAGTTTCTCCACGCACAGTACCAAATCGGGGTGTTTGGGCTGTTCAGAACGCGCGGAGGATAACACCAGCAGGCACGGAGGCCTGCATGTGAGGACGGTGGGGGGAGGCAGCAGGGAATGTCACGGCCTCCCCCGTGTTACAGGTGAGACAACAGGCACCCATTAGGGCAGAGACTGGCCCAAGGCCACAGTACCAGCAGGTGGCAGAGAGACACAAGCCCAAACAGCCTTGTTCCCGCCTCCATCGTGTGCCCAAGTTTGGCCCACGTCCAGTGCTCTGCTCCCACGGTTGCCAGGAGGTGCCTGGAGTCACAGATTCCCAGGGCCCCGGAGCCTAAATTTATTTCCCAGGCGGCTGGGCTGCCCCAGTACTCTGCAGCCTCGGGAGAGCCTCGTAGACATGCCAGTGGCAGGTGGCACTGAGAGTGGAACTGCAGGCAGGGGCTCCCAGTCTCTGAACAAGTGGCAGGCATGCTTGTGGTTGGGAGAGGAGACCCTGAGTTTATCGCCTGCATGCCCCCAAGGCTGGCACCCTTGGCTCTCAAAAGAAATAGCTTATAGGCAGACGCGAGGGAGAGGGTGTGTCCGTTTCCACAGGGGGTCTCAGGAATCAGACAAACCCCAGTTGTGAGTCTTGCTCTGCCACTTTCAGCCCCGTATCACTTCAGGCAGGTGATGGTCCTGCTCTGTGCCTCAGTTTCCCTATCCGCTCAAGGAGGCTTGCAGAGAGCTCCCCTCTGGCTGAGGCTGGGACAGTGGAAAGTGGGGATCAACTGAGCAACATGTTTCCAGTTCTTGAAGTCCAGGGGCAGGACTTGGTGGCCAGCACCGTCTGCTCTGGGGTTAGGTTCCAGCCTACCTCACTTATGGTGCCTAAAATTCCACCATGTAGCGTGCCCGCCCCTAAGGTATACATCTACACAGAATTCGGGGGGGGGGGGCCCGCGGCGGGGGAAGATGCCAGATAAAGTACAGGTGCCCAGTAAATTTGAATTTCAGACAAACAGTGGTATATGTGTCCCTGCCTCCCTCCAGCAGGCCTGGCCACCTGCACAGGGTCTGGAACACAGAGATGAGATCAGCAATAGCTCCCCCCACCCCGATCCCCACCCCCGCGCTCCCACCGCCCCAAGCCTGCAATTCCACCATCAGCGCATTGGTCTCAGGGCCTAACACTGGGACACTGGAGGGATCAGGGGCCACTCCCTTCCCTTAGCAGGACTGTGCCCAGGGACAGGATGCAGGGTGGGTAAGCACCCGCCCAGGGGCTGAGACCCTTCCCGGTGACTGAGATCCCACCGTCGGTGTTTGCCCCAGGTTGTAAGCACTAGGTTCCCCGCCACCCCCCCGCCCCCCGGGACCGGGTTTCTGGAACCTAGTGTCTTGGGAAGGACTTTGCCGCCTGCAGGAGGAAGTGGCGGGCGGAAGTGGAGCCCGTGCCTGAGGCCACCCTTGTCCATTGTAAGGACAAGAAAGGAGGATTGTGTGGGCCGGCGGGACGGGCGCGGACTTGCACACAGGCTGCACGCAGCGCAACCCCGCGGGCGCCATGCACGCGCCGCGCCCGCGCCCACGCCCACACCTCGGTGGGCGGAGCGGCGCCCGCGTGGACACGTGCGCGCGCACAGGAGGTCGGGACCCGCGCCCTACCCCGGGCAGGCAGGCGGGGCAGCGGGCCAGCGCCAAGGAGGAGTGGGGAGTTGGGCCGCGAATGGGAATGTTTCCACATCTCCACCGCAGGGCCTTTTCCCGCGTCCATCTCTCCCAACCTTGTGTCTGTCTGTCTCTGTCTCTGTTTCTCTCCCCATTTCTACGTCTCTCGGGGTCTCCGCTTCCCCTCGGTCCCTGTCCACCGGGCAGGCCAGTGGGGACTCGGATCCAGCCTCCCTGTCCCACACCATGTGCTGCGCATGGGAGCCCCCCGGGGAGGATGCCCAGATCTAATCTCCATCTGGACCCCTGGCCCCTGAGGGCCAGAGCCTAATTCCTTGTGACGGCTGAGCCCAGAGACCCCTGGCTCCCAGCGATCTCCCCCCAGCCCCCGCCCCACCACGACAGCTTTCCACCCCTGCCATTCCGTTGGGGGGATTTGCACCCTCTCCTCACCCCATCCAAATTAAGCCTCTGTGGCCCATGCATGAAATTCCACTGTTGTGGCCGCTCCTGTATTGGGGCAGGTGACCCAAGTCGGGGCCCGGCTTACACTGGGCCAGGCGGGCGATCCGGGCGTCCAGGGTGCGCGGCGGCCGGCGCAGTGGGGTCAGCGAGGGTCCCAGGTGGTGACTGAGGAGCAGGCCGTCCCGACACATCCAGATGGAGAGCACTGAACTGCAGAGCACCGAGGCCAAGGCTGCCGCCTTCCAGCGCTGCATCCTCGGCCTGCGGGCATGCGATGGTCAGCCCCACGGCCTCCGTCTGTCTGTCTGTCAGGCAACAAATGGGAACAGGGCGCTCGGCCAGGCACCGGGGACACGGTACGGCCCCTGATTTCCAGCCACTTCTGCTTAATGATCAGTAATAACGTAGACATGATTCATCAAGGAACCCTTGAACAAGGTTGTGAAAAAATGCTGCCCAAGAAAGGAGTGGGCACTGTACCAGGAGTAGCAGGGGACCCATCCCCATCTGGGGGTCCCAGAGTGCTTTCCTGAGGATTGACGGAAGTTGAGCCTTAACCAAATGTAGAAGTCGGCCAGGCACAAGAGAATGGCATCTCAGGCAGGAGGAACAGCCAGTGCAAAGGTCCTGAGGCTGGACCAAGGTTGGCCAATGCAGCCAGGAGGCTGGAGTGGCTAGAGCCCAGTGATTTTGGAGGGGAGCCTGGAAGGAGGTCAGGGCGCTCCCAGGAGGGGGCACTGTGGGACTGGGGCGTGGAGAAGACAATGTGCTCTGATGTGTTCCTAACATATTGGGGCCCTTGGGAGTGACGTCCTGCCCCTCTCTGAGCCTGGGTTTCCAGACAGAGATTAAACTGATGCCCAGAAGCGGGCATCGCTGGATCAAAGCTGCACTCGACCCACCACCCCCAGGCCTTTGCACAGGCCGGTCCTCCCACCCAGCACATTCTCTTCTCCTCCTCCCCACTCCCCTCCCTCTCTCAGTCTCAGCTCTTTGCGTCTTCCCCAGGAAGCCTTCTCCGGCTGCTCCTACTCGCGCCCTTCCTCCTCCCCAGCCCCGGGTGGGCGCAGGTGTGCACCCTCTGGGCCACCACAATGGCCTGAGCTTCTCCCGGTGAGGGACTGGTGACTCAGTGCTGGGACCGCCTAGCCCCGGGCACTGTGTGCACACAGTAGGTGTTTCGTAAAGCATGCGCACTCCCGCTCACCCCGTCAGAGCCCCTTCCCGCCGCCGGGCGCCCCCCGCCCGGGGTTTACATTCCCGGGCCTGGCAGCCTGGTGGCGGTCCGCGCGGGGTTGGCGGTCCGCCCGGTGTAAACATTTACACGGAGCATTGAAAGCCGCGCTGGATGCCGGTCAGCGCCTGGGCTCGGCCGTGGGGTGCCGGGCACCCCCACGCGCGCCCCTCGGGCGGCTCAGGCTGCGGGCCACTGTGCGGAGCCGGCATTTGCGTGCGATTTGCATTGCAGTTTTGCATGGACCCCGCACTGGCGGGTTCGGCGCAGTGGGTCTGGAACCGTCTCTCCCCCCACCCCACCCCCTCCCATGGGAGCGCTGGCGCAGAACCTACAGCCTCCAGACAGTAGCCGGGGACATTTATTAAGCGCCTGCTGTGTACCAGACCGGGTGCGGAACCCACGAAGAAGGCAGCATGATCTCCATTTTACAGCTGGGGAAAATGAGGCACAAAGCAGGTAGGGGCTTATCCAAGGTCACAGCTGGACAAGCATCTGGGATTCGAACCCGGCTGCAGGCGCTGCGCTGTGCTTGGCAGCCTTGGAGTCCCCCTGAGGACTTGCCCCGCTTGGGGGTGTTTGGATAGGGTCGTTTTGGGGACTGCTGGTGGCGCTGGCAGAGAATGAGCTCCCCCACACGGGGGCGTGAGAGAAAGCCGGGCCAGCCTGCAGATCGGAGGGCACTTGACCGCGCCTGGCGTGCTGCAGGAACACTGGTGGCCCATGAGGCTGGAACAGAGTGAGCGAGGCGGAGGGAGGGGAGGGGAGGTCGGGGAGGGGCCCGGGGCAGGTCACGCAGGGCCTTGGGGGCCGTGGGGAGAACATCTCATTGTCAAGCTTGTGCAGCAAGGGGAGAACAGCCCCCGAAGTTGTCTTCGCCCCTTGGCTCTAAAGGAGCACCTACTTTATGCTTTGGGGGCACAGAGCCCTCCCTGCACACGTCCTGCCCGGGTGTGCCTCGGTTTCCCTGTTAGGCTGGAACCAGGCCCCTGCGCCGCGCCAGGCTCTGGTCCTGGGTTTCTGCTGAGGGCTTCGCATGGGGGCGGGGGGCTGAGAGGCTGGATGGGCCCGGAGACGGCTTGGCCACGGGAGCCCCTGGTGTCCTTGGAGCCGCAGACCCCCCGGAGCTCTGATGGGGGGCAGGAAAGCAGAGGGCCAAGGGTGGAGGGGGCCCAGTAGGTGCGGCTGATAAGCGTCTGTTAACAATGGGCCTTTCAGTAAGGGGGTCACCCAACTGGTTTGTCTGTGGCAAGGACCTGACCCAGAGGGGTGCTGCGGGTGTGGCGCATGGCGCGGGGAGGGGGCCCGGGGTGCACCATGAGCGTCTCTGGGTCCCGGAGGCCCCCGGTCCTGGGGAGGCGGACGCACAGCACACGTGGGGGCGCATAGTCACTCGCACTCGGCGTTCTTGTCTTCGGTCACACACTTGGGTGCTCTCACTCCCCTGCACACCCAGACAGTCCTGACCCACACCCTGGGACACGCTGTCGCTTGCACACTCTAACACTGTCCCACTTACACTCCCTGTTTTCATACTCACCAACTTCAGCTCGACGGGGCTCGCACACTCAGGGGTTTTCCCACGCCCGTGGGCATTTTCACACATGTTGGAAACACCTAAATGGATGGGTGTTCTCACACTTCCATCCATATAGGAGCACACTTACGCACGAGGTCATTGGCACACACGGACCCCCAACAGTATCACACTCCCAGCAGTTTTCACAATTCACACCCTCAAGCATGATTACACTGAAAGACATAAATACAATCAACTATCTTGAGTGTGTTCACACTCATAACTTCCAACCTGATTACGCTCACATATTTGAACACAATCACACACTCAACTATTCTCACAATACACACCTGATCACTACCACACTCATCCTAGTGTCCTGCACTCGCAGGCTTGAACCTTCACACTTAGGTGTGTTTACCCTCACACTCACGTTTGACAGCCTTGTTCACCTGCTAGTGTAATGCATGCTCACACATGCTCACACCTGGGCTCACACATGGACCACACTCATAGGTTATCATATTTGAACACACCCCTGCCACACACTAGCATGTTTTCACACTTGTGCACTCTCACAGCATAGACCACCTGCCTTCCCACTTTGGAGCTCTCACACTCCCAGCCACTCAGGTGTTCTTAGCCTCTTGCACACTTGGGAGTTCCCACACAAGCGTTTTCACACTCACGGAAAACACGCACTGGCTCTGGCACGCTGGCCTAGAGAACAGGCATGCCGCTCCCAAGCCCTCCCCTGAGCACTCGGACCTGTGCACACTCAGGGACACACACCTGCAGGCTCCGCGTGTCCTGCTTCGTTCATGCGCTTGGCCTGGGGCCGAGCCGGGCCTGCCACCTGCTTGCCTCTGTCATTCTCACATCCTGGCCACACATTCACACACACGGGGACACACTGGTGCGTGGCCCAGTCCCCTTCTGCATGCATCTCTGGGGTTTCCCGTGCTGCCCAGACAGGGCCTTAGCCAGTGGTCTCCTCTCAACTCTCAGAAAACATCCAGACCCTGGAGAGTCCTCACTGCCCGGGAAAGGAAGACCCCTCCTTTCTTGGGGGCCATGACAGTCTGAACTGCAGGAAGTGGGATCAAGGAGAACCTCACTTCTAGCTGGAGGCCACAGAGTGCCCAGGGCTGGGATGAAGCCCAGAGAGGGGTGATGAGTAACCCAGAGTCACACAGCCAGGCAAGCCCTTCCAATCTTCCAAGGAACACACAGGGTGAGGGTGTGTGCATGTGGGTCTTTCTGAAAGCTTCCTTGGTAGCGCCAAGAAACTCTGCTCATTATCCTGGTGCCCAGGCAACACCCTGAGGCTCCACCTTTCCATGGAGCCTCCCAGGAGACAGAGGCCAGGCATACCTGTTCTTGAGGTCAACAGCCTCCTTCCCATAGAGCTCCTGGCCTCAGGGAGGCACCGGTTTTGTGCTCATTCCCAGGGAGAAGAAGGATGGGAGGGGGCACTTCCCTCCATCCACTCATCTCTCTAGTCTGAGGGAGGCCTTGAATTGGGGCTTGCCCCCATCTGGTAAACTCCTACTCATCCTTCAGAGCCCTACTCCTATAGGCCCTCCTCCAGGAAGCCATTCCAGCTTCCTATCTTGGATTCTCAGCTGCGGGTCCCTCCCTCTTACCCAGCCCTGTTGGCATAATATCTGGATCCAAATCTGTCTTCTCTGGACTGTGGGATTTTGGAGAGCTAGCCTGGGCTGGGTCCTTTCAAGGCACGGACAGGCTTCTAGAATTCTGTTCACAAAGGTATGAGCTTGGGTGCCTCAGTGGCTCAGTCGGTTAAGCGTCTGCCTTCGGCTCAGGTCATGATCCCAGGGTCCTGGGATCGAGCCCCACGTCGGGCTCCCTGCTCAGCGGGAAGCCTGCTTCTCTCTCTCCCTCTGCTGCAGCTCCCCCTGCTTGTGCTCGCTCTCTCTATGCTTCAAATAAATAAAATCTTTAAAAACAAAAAAAAAAGGGGTATGAGCTTGCTGCAGCTCCTTGGTCTCCATACTTTTGCCCATGTGGTGCCTCCCTTCACGTACACCCTTCTCCTTCTCCACCTCACTCCTGGACACCTCCGTGGCCTTCCTACAGGGGATCTCCCTGAAGGGTGCCACCCAGCCCCGTGGGAACACGAGGGACGACTTGGAGGAGCGGGACGGGCGGCTCGTGGGGCTGTCGGCACTGCCCACAGGCAGAGCGAGCCAGGCCGAGAAGCAGTGAGGGCAGCTGTGGGGGTCGCGCGCGCCCATGTGGGTGTGAGCGTGTGAAGAAGGGCTCATGTCTGAACCCCGCAGCGCCGGGGTTCTAGATGGCTGCCTTTGGATCCCGGCTCTGCCTCTTCCTTGCTGGATGACACGGGGCAAGCTCCTTCCCCTCTCTGAGCCTCAGTTTCCCCATCTGCACAGTGAGCTGCCTGGGACACCCCTGCCCGCGTTTGGGGGGCCAGCTCATTCATTCGGTGAAGTCCTGAGGGCCTGGCCGGTGGCAGCAGGGGCCGGGCCTCAGACACACGTGCCGGCCCACCTCCGCCATCCATGCTGACAGCCGCGGGGCTCCCTGCTCCTCTCCTTCCCCCTAGATGGCCCCTGGAAGTCCCAGTGATGGGGAAACTGAGGTCGCAGGAGGGGCAGGACTTGGCCTCCATCGAGGCAAGACTCAATGGTCCTGCAAAACAAGAAACAAATTCCACAGCCCACAAAAATGTGCCCCCTCCCTGGGAGGCCCCAGGGCCCAGCCCCGCCCCATGGTGGAGATGGGGAGTCCAGGGCAGCCGTGAGCCGGCGACACACATCTGGGGGTAAACCAGGAACATCTGGCTAGCGCAGCCGGTTCTGATGCCGCGTCTGCAGGGGCCTCATGGGGAGGGGGCTGCAGTCACAAACACCCCCCAGCCAACCTTCCAGGCCTAGCCAGAGGTGGGGGCCCAGCCTTTCCTCTTCTTCTCCCCACGCAGAAGCTCTCTGTTGCCCAGTTGCTAGAACCATCGCCTGCTCCCTGCTACTCTGAGGATCAAGTCTGAGCTTCTGAGCTTGTCTGAAGGGGCTCTGTGTCTGTCTTCGCCAGAGTGAAGCCGAGGGGTGTATAGACAGAGTGGCTCTTGGGGAGGACTGTGCTGGCTGCCCCGTGATAATAACAGTAGCAAAAATAATAATAATAGCTAACACTAGCACTGATGCACAACTGTACTAGTGCTGTTCTAAGCACTTTACACATAGTAACTCATAGCAAGGTATGGCCTATTTTATCTCCATTTTGTGGGTGGAAAAACTGAGGTCCAAAGAGGTGAAGTTATTTGCTCAAGATCAAACAGAGTGTAAGTGGCCAAGCTGGGGTTCGAACACAGATAGGTGAACTCCTACTCATCCCTCAAAGCCCCAGCCCCAGTACCCCCTCCACGTTCTTAATCACTGTACCATATGGCCTCTCTAACAACAACAGTAATAACATTAACACCCCCACCATGTTGGCTATTACGTTTATTTAGTGTGAAGCACTGTGCTAAGTGCTTTCCACATGTTTAACGGTCCCCACGGTCCCTGGAAAAGATGTCGTTATTCCCCACACAGTCGGTTCAGCGTCCGACTCTTGATTTCAGCTCAGGTCATGATCTCGGCCGTGGGAGTGAGCCCTGCCTCAGGCTCTGCACTCAGCGGGGAGTCTGCTTGAGATTCTCTCTCCCTCTCCTTCTGCCCCTCCCCCCCACTTGTTCCCGTGTACGTGCTCTCTCTCTCTCTCTAAATATAAATAAATAAAATCTTAAAAAAAAAAAAAAGAAAGAAAGAAAGGAAAAGGGAAGGAAAAGAAAAAAAAAAAAGAAAAGAAAAGAAGTGGCCGGGCTGAGGTTGCACCTGGGTCTGACTCCAAACTTGTCCTCTCAAATGCCTCCACAGTCCCTGGGTCCAGAGTGGCCAGGGTCATGCTGAGGGTAGGGGAGCAGCGGAAGGGCAGGATAGGTCCTGCCGTTTGGGAGAAAGGGGGGCTGACATCCACAGAAATGAGGTTTTCTCAAAGAGATGCAGCAGAGCAGAACCAGCAAGTAAATAAAGTGCCCACATGGTAGCAAGCCCAGTGTGCCAGGCTGAGCTCCGCCCCCAACACATCAGATCAACACTTATTGAGTGCTTACTGTGTGCTGGGCCAGGCAGGGAACTCAAGATGACCATGGCCAACCTGGGCCCCACCCTTGCCAAGCTCCCTGTCCAATCAGGGAGATGGATAAGAAAGAAGAAATAAATAAGGTAATTTAGATGTTGGCAGTAGGACAACAAAATAAAACAAGGTGAATTCATAGTGACCAGAGGAGCCTTTTAGGGTGAGCGGCCAGGGGGGCTTCTTAGAGGAGGCAGCATTTGAGTTGAGACCTAGTGAAGATTTGGAGAGAGGGTTCTAGGTGGAGGGAGCTGCAGGAGCAAACAGAGTTGGGGGTCAGTGTGGGGAGATGAGGTAGGGGAGAGATTGGGCCACATGACCTGCAGGGTCAGCTCTCCATCCCCTCGCCACCCCAGCCCCCCCTCCCTGCCCCCGCCAGTGCCTGGAGCTCTCTCTCTGAACCTGATGCTGGGAGGGCGTGTTCTTGGGGAGGCTGGACTGGGGAGCGTGGGGGGCAGGGCCGCCAGCTTTTCAGACCCACCATTTCTGGCCCAGCCCTCTGCGGCTGGCCTGTAAAATTCTCACCTTGACCTTAGCAGGCTGGTCTGCCTAGCCAGGCTGGCCTGGGGCTGGCCTTGCAGGCGTCTGGGGCGGGCAGGAGGGGGCTCCCTGGGGTGGGATAACAGGATCAGCCTAATTAAGCCTGGCATGGCTGAGCAGCTGGTGTGGGACCCAGCGGGTGGCACAAGGGACCTGGATCCTCTGGGAGCAGCCAGGAGGACACCACGCAAGGCTGGCCATGGGACAGAAGGGGGAGCAGAAGCACAGACCTCGGGTGTGACTCAAACCCTACCATTGGTTTCCTGGGGACCAGGGCACCTGAGTCATCTCTTCTACCTCCCCAAGTTCAAATTCTGCCTCAGGTCCCCAGTGCACTGGGCTTTTTAGGCACGCTCTCTCTGGGTCTCGGTTTCCCCAACTGGGAAGTTAGACCCCGCCCTGCTGCAAACAGGAGCCCCCTGTCTGATTTCTTCCAGGACCAGCCTGAAGCCTGGTTTCACTCGGATTTGAAGGGAAGATTTTTTTTGCTCCTGAATACCTTTGCTGAAGTGCCCCATTCTCCCCTCAGGCTTCCTTTGTAGCTGTTACCTCCCCTGAAAGTAACCTCTCCTGAAAATAACCTCCCACAAATATTTGTTGGACAGTAAATGGTGTGGCCCCACACTGGGCTCCTGGGCCTTGTCCTCCAAGGAAGACAGACTTGGACCCAGGGTGGGGCCCTGAGTGGGGAACAAAGGGTCTACCTCAGGGAAGAAGGGTCGGAGGAGACTTCCTGGAGGAGGGGCATTGGGGTTGGGGCTGATGAGTAGGAGTTTTATAAGTGAGAACAGAAAGGGCATTCCAGGTAGGAAGAACTACACATGCAAAGATCTGACTGGCTGGCTTGGGAGCCTCTCCTCCACTCCCTCACCCACCCCCAGGTGTATCAGGCACCAGGCCCATCTTATCCTGTGCTTCATCCTAGCACAGAGCTTGGCATGTAGTAGCCTGATGCTTAGGAAATATAAGGGGCATGAAGGAAAGATCCCTCCGGCTCACCCAGTCTCAGTTTTCTCAGCTGCAGACTGGGGAGAACCAGCCTCCTGCTGGGCCCGCCCCATGCTTACTTCATGCTTACTAAGCAGAGGTAGACCCCATCTGGCCCTCCATCTCCCCATGTGGGCCTTCCCCCAGAGGCCCAGACCCCTCTGTCCTATCTTGGGGACCAGGAAAGATGCATTTGCAGAGGAATCTACAGTCTCAGCAAAGAAGGCTGGGCCCAGTGATGCCAGACACATTAAAGACCCATTCCTCTCTGCTCTGTGTTTCCAGCCCTAACCACCAGGAATCCGGCCCTGAATGCCCCAGCCCAGTTTTCCCTCTGCCAACCTCTCAGAACGGTCTCTCCCCCCCACACTCACCCAGACACTCTGGATTTTCCAAAACCAGTCGTGTTATTACCTGCCTCCAGATCTTTGAATGTGCAGTTCCGGCTACCTGGAATGCCCTTTCTTTTTCCACTTAGAAAACTCCTATTTATCCTTCACAGCCCCAGCGCCAATGCCCCTCCTCCAGGAAGTCTCCTTCGATCGTCTTACCCAGAGGTAGACACTTTGCTCCTCACTCTGGGCTCCACCCTGGGTCTAAGTCTATCTTCCCTGGAGGACAAGGCCCATGAGCCCAGACACCAACAGTCAACCACACCATCACCATCCAGCAAACATTTGTGGGAACAATCTCTTGATTGTATCCTTGTGCCTGGCTGCAAACTCATTCCTTCTCCTGCCCCAGATTCTTGAAAGCTACATTCTCTGCTTGTTTCCCGAAAACTGAGGTCTGAAACTGAGGGACAAGCCCTGATGGTGGAATTTCAGTCACTGTGCCCTGCCACTAGGGGGGACGTTTTGTTTTCTTCCCTGTACCCCTAGAACACTTGCCACTAGGAGTGGTCTATAAGGCCCAGGGGTGGCTTTGGAACTCTGAACCTCAGGAGTCCTAGGATGAAGGGAATGAGGAGGGGTGTCCAAAGGGCCCCAAGGCAAGGGGCTGGCGGTGGGGGGGACACTGGCAAAGCTGAGAGTCTTCCCTCCACTGACATCCGCCTAGACCAGTCACGCCCCATTGGGGCTTCCTCAGCCTGCGGCACTTGAAGACAGACAAAGAGTGTCATGGAACACACAGAGAAGGATTGAGCAGAGAGAGGGCAGGGCAGGCAGGCAGGAGTGAGGAAAGTCAGGGGTCTGGCCTCCAGCAACCCCCCTCCCAGGACCCTGGCCCTGCTCCCCAGATCTGGGCTGGGGTCCCAGACTTGCAGGTAACCACAGGCCCAGAGCCCAGCCAGTGACACCACAATATATACTGTTGCTTCTTGGCGGAAGGGATGGTGGTACCACCAACCCCTGGGAGGGACCATTTCTCTCTCCAGTCCCACCCCAAATCTGCCCACTGTCTGCATCCACCTCTGCCTAATGACTCCTAACCCACACACTCCACCTTCTGGGAGAATTCTGAGACTGAGCAAGAGATGCCTTTTTTAAAAAAGCAAGGAGGCACAGCCCCCTCTCCTTCAAATCTACTCTTTGCCCTTAAGGGACTACCCTCCCCCCAAAAAGGGTTTCGCGCCCTCTTGTGGCTGAACAGGCGGCTCCCGGAGCCGAGAGAGCCGGGCCCTTACCGGAGGACACCGTGTCCCCGGAGGCGGCGGCGGCTGGAACGCGCCACTGACAGATGTTTACTTCTGCGCGCAGCTGGGCCGCGACGGCAGCTCCACGGCTGGGGTCCGCGGATCCGAATGCCCCCCACAGCCCCTTGTACACCACAAGGCAGCGCGGGTGTCTGGGTCTCGCCCTCCTAGAGGCTGGGGAGGGGATTCCGGCTGCCCCCGCTTCCACCCCTGTTCAGACGCACACTTGGGGGTCCAAGGAGGCAGAGGCGCGCCCGTCCCGTCAGACAAGGACCCGGGCCAGATCCTGGCTTGGAGAGGCGCGGAAGATCGCCCTGCCCACCTCTCCCCTCCTGCCGTGCGCGGACCTGTCGCCCCCTAGACCCCACCTTCGTACACATGCCGGTTCTTGGCTAGAGGAGGGAAGCTACGGGTCTATCCGGAGCCCCCGTAAGCCCCCAAACCTCCGTCCACGGGGCCGGTCCTCCCCCAGCGCCGGTCCCCTGCGGGTCCCCCGCCTGCCCTTGCTTACCTGCTCGGGGTGCCCGACTACCCGTCAGTGGTGGCCGCGCCTGCCGCCCGCGCCGGCCCCAGCCCC